ATAGATGCTTCTGAAGAATGGTGGGCCAAAAGATTGAAGGTGAAATTTATGAAATGTTAAGTCTCTTACAAATTATTTATTTCTTCAATTATATCAACATATGAATAACTAATTAATTTATAGGTCGTTTGAAATGATAAAAAGTTTAATTTCAGTGGTATTAGCCATGAGCTTGAAGAAAAGTTAGACCCTATGTTTGATGGAGTCATTGTCATCAGTGACATGCATGGACCCATAACAAAAGGGTTTGCTCGCATACTTGAGCATGTGGATGTCGAGTTAACTTCTGGCTCAAATGAAACTCCCAACCCTAACATTATGAAGTGGAATATACTAATTGATCTAAGCATTTGACAATTGGGAAAAAAAGAAAAAAAGGTGTTGTTTTCATTAGAAGCCAAATATCACAGTTAGTTGTTTTATGCATGAATGACCTTGACACATCATAAGCGAATTCCATTCAATAAGTTATGCGAATTCTGGAAGCAACTCTAGAAATTTATGAAGACATATCACTATACTTTTTCTCTATGAAGTTGCTTGAAGACCCGACCTAGAGAGATTTCTTTATGATGATAACCCATAGCCATAGTGTAAATTATTTATGTTATTTTCATGATAACAGGGACACTTGCTTGTTTATTTTTGCTAGTTGAAGAATTTATATTTATGTTTCATTGGGACAATCTATGCTGCTTTGAATATTTGATTTTTCATTGAGGCACATCAATTGTGCTTTTGATTGTTATTTGATTTTCCAAGTTTATTTATGATTGTTGTTTGTTTAATGAATGTTCTAAAAGTAGCTATTTCGGTTCTTACATTTGTTAGTTGCATAGTTAATGAAGAACATGGAAGCATGTAGAGAAAGATGCAAAAGAAGAATTGCAGCTACGGTGTTTTTGATGTATGAGTGCTATAACTTCTACATAGCTCACTCTCCTTGCATGACATTTTCATACATTGATGATAAGTGGGTTGAGGAGTTGCTCATAGGGCACCCAATAATATTCAACAATATGTTCCGTATGACATAACCCGTATTCATCGATCTCTTGGAAGAATTACATAAATAGCCTCCATGATTACTCCATGATGACTTCCAGAGAGGTGTTAGCAATAATTATTTATATTTTATCATAGAATGAATCTATAAAAGGAGTCATGGAGCGATTCCAACACTCATCTGAAACGATCAACAGATATTTCTCAATTGGGTTGAATGCTCTAGTCAGTTTCTCATAAAAAAAATTATTAAACCAGATGACCCAACATTCGAAAGGACTCCCATAAAGATTTCACATGACCTGAAGTATATGCCATATTTTAAGGTAATTCTATTTATTCATTCTTTCTACAATTCAAATGAATAAAATAATTTAGATACCCTTCATAAATTATTTAGAATTATATTGGAGCGATCGATGGAACATACATGGGTGCACGTGTTTCGAATAATGAAAAAATCGTATTCATCAGGCGACGCAGATCACTAACATATAATGTCCGGGTTGTATGTGACTTTAACATGTGCTTCATTTTTATTATGATTGATTGGGAAGACAGTGTACATGACAGTATATATTCACACTCTTGATTTTGAAAGAGCAAACAATGTTGCTCGTGATAGGAAATATATGTTTAACAAGAAACACTTATTCTTACGGTGTGTCATGGAAAGAAGATTTGAAGTTTGAAAAAACATGGGTCATACTTTGGGATATACCGACATATTTGTTTCCTAAATAAGTGTAGATTGTGATCACTACAATGACTCCATAATTATATTTGACGACATCCTTCGCTCAACAACATTGACTTTAACAGAGCTTACGAAGATCATTCACTTGTCCCTATTGAAGCATAAGAATATCCCGTCGAACAACCTTTATCACAGGCTAAAAGTGATTTGCGTGAGACTTGCATCCAATATGGGAAGGTGCAGGAGAGATGATAAGGTTGAGGGAGCGAACTACAGATGCTATCTTTAGCGGTTGATTGGAGCGATCGCATGTTTTTTTCTGCCACTTTATTTGCATTGTATTGTGAAAATGTTTAATGTTTGTGTATCGATATTTCATGCAATGATGTTTATTTTGAATCTCAATTTTATTTGCAGTTCTTTGCTTGTATTCTTTCTAATTTGGATGATCGACGAGGCAATCGTGGATATAATATGTAATATAAAATTTTTTTACATGTTCTATTTTTGATTTTGGAGGTTTATGATGAGACATTTGACCGTAAGAGTTCTTCTGAATGACCTATACATTGCTATTGATTATTGACACGTGTGACATCCCAAAAATAAATAATCAAGTTCCTCTTATTTTTAATCCTATAGTAGTTAAGGTTCTTCTCGATGGGTTTTTTTTGTGATATGAATATGTGACACATACAAGATAGGTATTATGTGATTTAAAGACAACAAAGAACATTTTTTTTATAAGCTATGTTGTCTTTCTATAGTGACAGATTCGTTGGTTTTTACTATGTTCTCTGAGAACTCACAGTTTTGTAAAAATTGAATTGATTACTTCTACTATTCTTTTTAAATTGATGTTGCATCTAAGAGTTTGTGCTTTGTTGTTTTAAACATGCGAAAAAGATGAGCTTGGGGACCTTTGGCACCTTTAGAGCATCGTACTGCTATTATGGACTACAATATTCCCTGCTTAATTCACGACAGTTACATATCTATGTGAGTCAGTTTTATAAGTGTCCAAGAAGAACAACAAAAAAACTGTGACTTCTTTAGGTGGATTGACGTGTTGGAGGATTTCACCGTCGATAGTAATCAGACGTGGAGAATTTTCTTGGAGCACAAATTATCTCATGACATTAACCAAATACATTTTAAATATAACATTATCATATTATTAATTGTTATTTTAATAGTTTTTTTTTTAATTTTGATTTTCGTGCTTCTCATAGTTAGTGAAGCTTTTGTTTTTATTTTATAATGTTTGAAGTGAATATTTTCTTTTAAGTATGAAATGCGCTTGTAGGATTTGTTTTGTTATAAACAACAATATACTACAATGGCAGAAAGATTATTTGTTCAGAAGTAACTGCCACAGCTGCTGCAAAACTATAAGAAATAAACAGAGAATCATTTTTTTTCGGAGCAGTTTTCTTGAATAGCTACCACGCAACAAAATTTTTAATAAGTTGGAGCTGTCCTAAACAGACACTTAGGTTCTGTTTGGGGCAGCTGCAGCTTATTGAATAATATGCTGATAAGTTGATTGATTAAAAATAATCTAAATAATCTAATGATAAGCTAGGTGCGGTGATTATTATAAATTTTTATTTTTTTAGAAAAGCCAGACTGTTGCCAGAAAGTTATCATCGCACCTAGATAGGTGCAATGTGAAAAATCTGTTTTCGACGTTTTGAAAACACATAAGCTGTCAAAACGCAGTTTACTCAAATAGGTGTGCCTTTTCAAAATACCGCCACCCATAATAAACTGCCCCAAATGGACAAAATCGAAAATTATTTCAGGAATAAATTATATGGTTTTCTAAAACTTTACTTAAATTAATTAGGAATTATTTTCCTTAGCAAAATAAAATATAATTTATTAGAAATCCTAATATTGGAGTTTAGTTTCATACTTCAGCGGAAAATCATTGGCCAATATTTTTTCCTCCTTCAGGCAGCAAAGATCCTACTTGCCGCTGGCGCTCCTTGCGCTGGGAGCTCAAGGAGCTTCCTGAAGCTTCTCTCGAGCGCAGGAAGTGACGCCCGAATGGAGAGGAACTGCTCGCGGCTTCGGGTTCTCTCGAAGGGAACTCAGGAGCTCATTTCGAGCCTCTCGAGTGCGGAAAGAAACCAGCATGACACGCGTTCGGCTGCTTCTTCTTCATTGCCGATCGCTTAGGGCAAGGAACGGGAGCTTACAGGGCGCCTCTCGCACGCGGGAGAGAACCTAGCGATTCACTCGATGGAACGAAGCCGCGCGCTAGGGAAAACCGCTCGCCTCCTTCGTTTCTCCCTCCTATGGCTGCTCGCGGCAGTCGACAGAGCCGCTCGTCTCCTCCTTGTTCTTGTTATTTTCTTCTTCGATTAGGGGGTAGGCTTCTGCTTCTCCCTTTCCCTTTCTCGCTTTAGCTTCTGCTGTCTCTTTTGCTCTCTCTATTTCTCGTCGTCGTCTCGCACTCTCTCTCTCGCGTGGAGTGAAGGAAAGAGGGAGATAATACATTGTGAAAGATTTCGAGGGTGGCGATGGCGCCGGTCGACGTGCACAGCTAATTAGAAAACTTCTTTTTATTTAACTTAATTATTATTATTTTATAAACGATAATTATTAGACATTACCTTTTGTTTGTTCCTTCTGGATGGTTCTATATATAAAATAATATGCAATTAACTGACAAAATGATGCATAATCCATTTAGTATACTGCATCTAACATAGATGCAGGAGCCCATTCGTTTTAGTTAGGCTAACCACTATCTTTTGTTCGTCAATATTTTTTCTTACTTTATATACGTGTGCTCTTTGGGGAGAACTATCTCAAGAAATTTTAAGCATGATATATTCTTGCTAGGAAGTTTATTTGCCAAAAGTATCATACAAAAATATATTAGCATTGACCAATTCAAAGAAAATAAGGAAAAATAAGAGGTTAAATTATCTCAATTGCATGAAATATTTTATTATTATGTTGCTATTTTTATTTTGAGATTTGGTCCCAACCTTTTGGGTCAGCCATTTTGAGGTCAAATCAACCATTATTTCTTACCAATTAAATGTTCATTAATTTATTGTAGAAAAAAAATCATATGTTAGTTCTAGAAGACCTAAGACCAATTTAACCTTATGCAAAATATATTTAGTTTTCTCTTAAACCTCACCGCTATGTGCTGTGTATTCATTGGTCATTATCAGTAGCACAATATGAACGGTTACACAACTGTTTATTTTTTTTCTTTAGGAGAAAACTAATCACTCAGTGTTAAATATTGACCCTTTTTATTGCATTTCTTCTGCAGGAATTGGCAGACTATATAGGCTTACCATGTAGGATAGCCCAAGGCTGCAAGTATTGCACATCTACATATGGCACATCTTGCCTTGTAAAACTTGATTCCAAGCAATCGTTAAGGTTAGTCAATTTTTTTTTAGCCCTTCTTTCATACCTGGTGTCTGTGTACGCTATTACGCTTTTGTGATGGATTAACATGGCTATTCAATGTGTGTGCAAATAAATTCTTTCGTACTATCACATTTAGTCGTTTCTTTAAGCATGAACTGTGTAGAAACCCTCTTTCAAGATTTTTTATTGTTCTAATGCAATAGTATTTGGGAGCTGAAATAGACTTGTGGTTTATTTAAAAAAAGAAAGCAGCTGCTTGGCCATTTTAGTATGCGTTTAAATTCTTGTATTACATTGCTGATATTGGATGTAGAAAGTTTTATTATTTACTAATGCAAACTAATGCTATGATAATATGCATTGTGTTGTGAATGAAATAATGTTATGATATGCATTGTGAATGAAATAATGTTATGATTTTTTTTTTTTCGTTTTTTAAATGAAAATTGAAAGTAATTTCTTGAAAATTGATTTGACCAATAGGAAAGTAAAAATGCACAAGCAAACTGTCTAACATAAACAATTAAATAGAAACATAATGAATCAAGATACTTACGAAAAGTAATGTATCTGCTTGGATGGAATAACCTATAAATAAATATAATAGATTTATATTTATTATATGCTTCAAGAAATGCTGCTGCATTAGGTTAAGGTCTTTTAGAGCAAATTTTAGAACCACTCTATAGTATGGGTACAACCAAAGAAATTACATAGAGAGGATAAATTACCAAAAGAAAAACTACGTGACAAATGATAACATGTTTAGTAAAGAGAAAAATATCACTCTAAAGTTATTTCCTATTGTTTTTTTCTATAAGTTCCATTATTGTAAAATTTAATTAGGCATTTATCAGGACTACCGAAGTATTCCAACATGTTTAAAAAGTGTTCATACTTGACATCTAGAACAATGTGGCTAGATGTGTTCAAGCCTATACCACTTAAAAAAAATGAGCATAGCTTTTAAATTCATGCTTGTAGTGGACATAGCGATTTTCTCGTAGTGTTGGAATAATTTGCTTAAGTGCTTATATTTTAATTGTTTCGGGGTGTTAAAGCAATGCACAAGTATTTATGTGGTGACAAGTTTTAAGCCTAGCTTTTAGGCTTTTGTTATGAGATTTAAGTTTTTTCAATGCTAGACATTGGAATATGGAGGATCAATGTTTAAATACAGACTTACTCCCCTTGCGTATAGGCAGGGTAGCTAAACTCAAATGTGTGCGCATATGTCAACTTTGAATGAAAGAGAGTTTGCTTTTCATTTTTTTTTCTTGGAAAATAGAGCTTGCACATATGCTGGCATGTTATACTGGACTTTAATGATGATGTGGCTTGAGGGATTGGACGGTGACTTAGTTATTTAATAGAATTTTTAATCTTATTTTTTCTATTTTAAATTTAAATAAATAAATAAATAAATAAAATATGTAATACTCGAATTGAAGAAAAAGGTATATTAAAATTTAATTTGAAATATGCCTTATTCTTCAGACCTCCCAAAATTCTCGAAATATATTTTTTATAAAATTTTAATTTTTGTTTTTATCATATTGTTATATAGAAGTATATAAGAGTTATTAATAAATTCAAGTTTATGAAAATAATTAATTCAATTAATTAATTTAACCTAATCATTTATCTAATTTAAATTATCACAATTAAACAAGAAGTTGAATTGGTGCAGCAAATTATGGACCTCCAACTTCGATAACATGCAACAGTGGGAAGGATTTAAGGTTGAGATTTACTCTAAGAAATATATGTGTACAGACATTTGATATATCCTAAGCAACCAATATTCTCTTCCCTTTCATGTGACCTAAGTCGATTCCGTGTGCAAAGCCGGGCGAAACGAAGATCTATGTATTCTCTTGGGTAGCTGCTAGGAAGAGGAAATAGAAAAGACAAAAAAATTTAGAGGTTTGGAGAAGGGGTAACTAAGAAATCTCTATTTACATCCGCTCAGTTTGGCTGGAAACCGCGGTTAGACTATTTAGGGAAGAGGGTGTTTTTTGGCATAAAACTGGAGGGGAAGAAATTAATATACTTAGGAGGTAAGTGTATATGTATGTGTATGTGTGTGTTCCTTCAATTTTCTATAAAATTTAGCTAATCAATTCTTTTAATTTAGAGCAGGTTTTGATTATCAAATACATTTAGATGGAAATTTAAGTAATAGGAGAGAAGGTGAACTGGGGAAGTCATTTTGAAGTAAATGTGTCTTGATAAGAAAACAATTGATATTAAGATTAGAGAGGACTAGTTGATATCTGTGATTTATTGATAAAAAAAGATTTTGAGAGGGCCGATTTTCATTCGAGTTAATTATAGTCGACGGAATAGGGCAAACCAATGACATAAATTAATTTATAGTCAATGCAAATATAATGTGATATTCATTATTCAAAAAGGTTGAGAAAACATACGAGAATAAAAGTAAAATAAAAACATTTATGATATTACATAGTATAGTGAATTAAAGAATTGTCTATAACAATATTATTATTTTTTATCTAAGAGTGAAATACTACATTTAAATCATGTTTTCTGTATCTTATTTAAGAATGTTAGTCTCTATTATCGCTATTTCTCATGTCAACTATTAGCGAGCACACATTTTATTTTTTTTCTTGTATATTGAATCTAATTTTAATGTTGTGTATCTCACTAAGTCTATAGCTTATCCAATGGTGCAATGTTGCTTTTTAGATAAGGGTTGAGGAGTAGGTAAACCATTAGTCAGGTGACTTGTCCTTATGTATAGCTTTTAAATTTAAAGAGTTATGGATGATTATAAAAGATTTTTGAGGTACATATTATTTATATTTAAGTATTTTGGAGGCTTTGTATTTTATTTGAGGAATTATCATTCACCCTTATTTATATTTAGTGTCAATGAATATTTGATGAATTGAAATTAAGAGTCTACTTCTATAACTTGGTATGATTTATTTTTCACTGACTTTGTTCTGATGAGTACACATCACAATGTGTCAATGCAAATTGAGGCGCCGTTTGGGGCGGCAGTAGAGGAGCGGCGCCGCGGAGCGCCGCTGTCTTCGTTTGTTTGGGGAGGTGGCGAGCCGCAGTGCCTCGTATTTTTCCTTAAACGTGGACCGCGGGTTCAACCTCTCGACCCGCATTTCTCTTTTGTTTTTTTACCCGGGTGTCTTCGCGATTCCGCCCTAACTCTTCTTCCTACTTGCTCGGCTTTTAACGCAAGGGTAAGCTGCTACCCCGTCCCCCTCCTTCCTCTTCTCCCACGTTGCTCATGCTCTCTGGTTCGTCCTCCTCTTCTCCCGCGTTTCTCATGCTACCTGGTTCTTTATCATCTTCCTCCTCTGTTAGCTCACGGTAAGCACATTTTCTGCAATATATGCGAATGCCTTCTTCGTTGGATTTGTGATGTTACAATTGAAAATGTTGTTCGGTGAAATGGATGTAAGGATTAGATGTGAATGCTACATGTTTTTGGTGGCCCGAAATTTGGTTTGGTTAGCTGTATGAAATTTTTTTCTTCTCTTATTGCTTGGGGATGACACAATTTGATGTTGGATATTTTTGAGTGAGGTTTATATTGACTGTGGCATGGCCATTGGTGCGAATACAAATCATTTGGGTGGTCTGCATGAGGATCTAACCAAAAAAAAAAAGAAAAAAGGAAAATTTTTTTGCATATCTAGCTTGAGCATTATTAATGTTCTTTGGAGTAGCTATGGCTTGGGATTGTAGATGTGGATTGAGGTGGCTTTGGCTTGGGGTTGTGGACGTGGGTTGTGGCGGATGTGGCTTGGGATGTCCGTGGCTTGAGGTTGTGGATATGGCTTGGGGTGGTTGTGGCTTGGTGGTGGATGTAGCTAGGGGTGGATGTGGCTTGAGGTGGATGTGGTTGTGGCTTGGGTTTTTGGGTGGATGTGGCTTGGGGGGTGTGGGTGGCTTATTGTTATGGGTGTGGCTTGGGGTTATGGGTGTGGGTGGCTTGGGGTTATGGGTGTGGCTGTGGTTTGGGGTTATGGGTGGATGTAGCTTGGGGTTATGGGTTTCTTGGGGTTATAGGTTTGGCTTGGGGTTATGGGTGTGGTTTGGGGTGGATGTGGCTTGGGGTTATGGATGTTTCTTGGGGTTATGGGTGTGGCCGTGGCTTGGGGTTATGGGTGGATGTGGCTTGGGTTTATGGGTGTGTGTGGCTTGGGGTTATGGGTGTGGCTTGGGGTGTGGGTGGCTTGGGGTTATGTGGGTGGCTTGGGGTGATGTGGCTTGGGGTCATGGGTGTGATCGTGGCTTATGGTTGTGGGTGGATGTGGCTTGGGGGTTGGGTGTATGGGTAAATGTGGCTTGGGGTTCTTGGTGTGGGTGTCTTGGGGTTATGGGTAAATGTGGCTTGGGGTTATAGGTGTGGGTGGCTTGGGGTTATGAGTGTGGCTGGCTTGGAGTGGATGTGGTTTGGGGTTATGGATGTGGCTTGGGCTTGTGGGTGTGGCTGTGGCTTGGGCTTGTGGGTGTGGCTGTGGCTTGAGGTTATGGACGTGGCTTGGGGTTATAGATAGATGTGGCTTGGAGTGGTTGTGACTTGGGGGTATTGGATGGATGTGTTTTAGGGTTATGAGCGTGGCTTGGGTGGATGGATGTGGCTTGGGGTTATGGGTGTGGATGCGGCTTGGGGTTATGGATGGATGTGGCTTCGGGTTTATGTAGCTTGTTGGTGGATGTAGCTTGGGGTGAGGGTTTTGTAGAGGCTTGAGTTGGTGGTCGTAGCTTGTTTGGTATTACACTTGTTTTCATTTTGTTGGGCATATGGTTTTGGTTGGGCTGGTGGATGTGGGTTGAGGTTGTTGATTGTTGGCTTGTGCATTTATTGTTTGATTTTCATTTACTTATTTTTCTTCTTATTATCACAGCGATACGATAACTAAGACTAAAGAGGCTGTTACACCCGCGCTGTGGGATAGAGAAACCAAAATAATATTTTGTGACATTTGCTTGAAGGAAATAAATCTTGGTAA